TCTAACTAACTTTTAAATCTGTGAACTAAATTCTGTTAAGCAACACACTAAGCGTGTCAAACACTTGATGGCCCCTTGATAAAGGAGACAACAGTAAGAGAACTCTTGTTGGGATGGCTAAAAAGTGGCCATGGCTGCTAAATATAGCTGGCCGCTTAATAGAGGCTTAATTTACAAATAATGTTTATTTACAATATTATTTCAGGACTTTCAGAGATAGGCTGCTTACATGTAATTGAGGTTCAACTGTAATCTTAAGACCTTGCAAACATAAATTTGTATTTTTTTTACTGAATTTGTACATTTGGCCATCAATAGGAGTTGTCCAGGGGACAAATGCGCTTCACACACAAACGAAGATTGTTGAAAAGACAACTTTAATGAAGACTCAGACTTGCACATGTCAGCACATTTTTGAACAACACAAGTCACAATCTCATCATGGCTTACTAAAACTTCACCTTGTCAGTAAAAAGCTACGCAAAAGAAAAACTAAATCACCGTCAGAGTGGAAATTGAAATGCACAAGCTCTGAAAAACTTACCATACCATGAGAAACTCACACCAAAGCGTTACAGGTAATTAAACACATGGTTTGGTCTCAATGAACACTGAGGCGTGCGCACAGCATGCTGGTAGTTTTATAAATTACAAAAGGATTGGAACAGACTATTCTCTTGTTGAGGATTAGCCTCAGCAGGAGTGAAAGGGCTAAGTTTACACATGTTACCTGAGGGGCTTCAAAGTTTGGTCTCCACCAGCTCCCTAAACAGTCCTCTACAATCCAGTCAACCTCCACTCCCTGCTCAGGACGACCTAAGATCTGAACAAAACCAAATGGACAAATGTTACTTTTCTCTCATGCAATGCCAATATTTTAACATTCCAGACCATGAAATACGTACAGTTGAACCTCCCATAAGCAGCCACCCCAAATGGAAACACTTAGAAATCGCTTAAGGGAGGTGGTCATTTACGAGACTCAAACCACAAGGGGTCTTTTCTGAGAAGAGATCTAGACACATCTACTTTATAGGAGATAATTCACTGCATGCAATTTCCAAGTTGCAACAAGTGTAGTTCCATGTTGCTACTATGGTAAAAGCTCTTCTTATTCTCTAAGTAGCATACTAGTACATACAGCCAACATAGAGATCAGACCATGCGTCAAGTGGTTGCTTACAAGAGGTTGCAAATATTGGAAACATGATTAATAAACCATCAGCCCCGAAACATGGCCATGGTTGCAAACAGGAGTTGGTCATTTACAAGACGTTCAAACTGTAAGGCTTTGAATGGCAAAAGATTGGTGTTTTAGATAGGTGGTTGCTTATGAGAGGTGGTCACATATGCAGGTTCAACCATAGAACATTAAGGTGTAGAACTGTTGGCAAAATCTGACAGCCCAAAAGATCTTATTTCATATAGAACCCTCACTGGGGTCTGGTCTTTGTTTCTTCTCAAGCTCTTTTAGGGGGATGAGTATGTCCCAAACAGCAGCCAGTAATCAAGCCTTATCTGGACTTGAACTCTACGAAGCGTGCAAAAGCCTTTAATCAGCAGCTGTTTGTTATAGAGGGATATCAACTAACTTAAACAAGCCAGTTCAAAAAAATTTTTTAGCTGTTCAGTGTGTTCCTCTTAAGCTTTTGCAATAAAATAATTATTGTAATTTGCCATTTGCTCATCTCATATCATGCCTCCCCACAATTTTGCACCACCTTTGTTTTTAATTACTCGATTTGATATTACAGTTGTCCCAAGAGAAAGTGAAGACAATGCTTCTGCAAAAATTTGGGAGGTAAACAAGGTGTGTTATGGGAGATGTGCTAATGGCAAATGAAAACAAAACAAAAACAAAACAATGCTGCAATGACATTACTAATGGCAAGTAACTTACCTCAGTCATAGATCTCTTCAGTCCATCAATCTCATCTTCCCCAGCCACTAGCTCACCACCGGGCCTAGGGTCATAATAGAAATAATATTTTTTAACAAATTCTGTCCAATTATTTTGTTTTTCTTTTGAATCAAAGGTCGCATGCAAATATTTAGGCAATTCTGGCCAGAAAAGAAAATAAACATAGGACTTGGAGTAAGATAGTTATGCCTTCAGGCCTTCCTTATTATTAGCCTGCACCAGACAAAACTACAGTGTAAACCTTTGGTTAAGTCTGCCTTCAAGCCAGTGCCAAACTCCTTGTTGTGGACCCTCAGCTGTGTACAGGGATTTGAGTACAAGCCATGGTTGGCCTGTCAAAAAAGCCATCTTTGATTAGCCATCTACGTTGAAGGGAGATTTGAGTCCACTGGGGACACAGAACAAAGATCTCCACACTGCTCTAGATGATACTTGTTGCATTTACGTTAAGTTAATAACGCAGGTTATCAGATTATTTAAATCATAAAAAACTACATGTAGACTGGGCTTTGCCATAGGCAGCCCAATAAATACATCTTAAGTAATGGTCCAGATAAGAAGGAAAGCACCAAAACGCAGTGAACACAGCGGAATGCAAAAAGGTGCTACATGTAACTTTACTATTGTCTCTACTATGGTTCTAATTGGTTTAAACATCAAATTTTATGAAATCTTTGCAAAGCAACATGTATATTAATCCCTTTTTTCTATCCAACTTCCTTATAACAAAATCTTGTCTAAGTCTAAGTAACACAGAAATCGTATGTGAGGATCATGTAAAATTACAAACATTTCCTGGCTATTGTTTGCAACTCTTGTGATTGGTTGAAATGTTTTAACACAAAAATACACCCTTTAAAAGTGGAGTTTAAATACATTTTCTTTCGTAAACTGCCTTTTTGTAGGTTTAAGCATTCTCTGCATAAAAATGAAAACATTTCTATGTGAGGAAAGCGTATTGCACCACAACAGAAGAAATTGCTTCCCTTCTTGCCTGGATCATTACTTAAAGTGTATGTAAACTGACAAATTAAGTAGACTCACAACTTAAAAAATGTTGTCCCGAGTTGCAGAAGTAGCACATGTGGCAATCCATGTTCATGAACAATCAGTACTCCTTCAACAGTCTTTCTCATTCCAAACTTATCATATTCCTCTCTAAAAAGAATGCAAAATAAGGTGAAAAACTGTGATTTGTTTGCCCAGAAATCAGTTACATTCATTGAAGGGTGATCTATTGTTTGACGTTTCCATACCTCATTCTGGTAAATCTTGCCTGAACTGAACTGGAAAGTAACAAAAAAAGCCAGACAAAGATATTAAATTTCAAATTACATGGCAGGGAAATGCCCTGCAGTATACCTGGGCAGGGGGCAGGGGGTATATTATTATTAAGCTGCGACAACACCATTCATGATTCTAATTTTCTTATTGTTATTTATTTTGTTTTAATTTGTTTGTAGGTAAAAAAAATTACATAAAAATAATTTTTAATAGGGAGTTTAAGCAAATCGCTACGGCGACCTCTACTATGGCAGCCGGAAGTAAAAAAGCCCCTAGATGACGCACTGCACATGCTTGGAAATGACCTTTCGCTGTAGCGCCAAATCCTACGACGTGAAGAGCTGTCTTCTGGCGTAGTCGCTACTACGCTAGTATAAAAGTCGACTTTTCTCCCATTTTTTACGATCACTGGTTTTAAAAGCTATCATAGATTTTCACTCTGTCAAGAAAGTATTCGAGGCTTCTGGTTTTCTAGTGAATACGTTTTCCTTGTGTTTTCTCAGTTTGAGATTTCGATCCTAAAGCGAGTGTACCATGAGCTCTGCTGCGCCATGGCCGCAGAAAATCCGCCAGTACAAACAAAGGCTAGACGAAAACCGTAAGCACGACTGTTAGCAATAAAGCTAAATGTCACTGACGGTTGTTTAAACAAGAATAGAATATCTAAAACGCTGAATTTGTTGATTTGTTCAGTGTTAAATGCGGTACACAAGAAGAAACATCACCAGCAGCTTACTGCCATCTTCATCTGTAGTTTTCTGTTTCGTGTACGAATCACCCTCTGATGATGTTTACTATCAATATTCTTCTTGGCAAACAAAATTTTTAAATTGGCCGTTTTCTTACTTGACCACCATTGAATTCTGTTGTTGAAAAATTATAGCGAAAGCAAGTGAACAAGAACCGAGCTTGAAATTTGGTGAGCTACGAGACATACTCTCCCCAGGACACCACATCCACGACCGCCATAGTAGAGGTCACCGTAGCGATTTGCTTAAACTCCCTATTAATTATTAACAGTGCTGCTGTAAAGCTATCTGTTCTGAATAGGTTGGCAAATGCCTGACCCCCAGGCCATGCAAAATTTGCTTATGATCCACATGCCAGACTGACAAGGCAGTAAATGCCCCACAGTAGCCCCAGGGGGATTTGGGGGGGATGGGTGCAGCTCAAATTGACTGATGCATTATCACCTGCTAACTCTCCCGCATTATGCATGAGTCTCACACGTGCGGGTGCGATCTAATGCATGAAGGGCAATTTGGCACGCCTGATTCACAAATCTAAACGAATTGTTCCTCGACGCATGATTAATATTTTAATTTCACATTGTCTGTTCGTTTCACGAAATGATCAGTTTTTTTAGTATATAACTCACCTATCTTTTTCATATAATGCTTCTTTGGTTCCAAATGTATAATTTGTCAAAGGATATCTACAGAGAAAGGAAACAGTGGGATAAGATTACAATGACAGGGTCACAAAATTAATGAACTTAAAATTAAAATTAAATTTAAAAAATTAATTTTATTTAAGCGATCGATAACAACAGGGGCTCATGTAAAAGTCGAGCATTCTGGATCGAATGTCAACACAAAAAAATTCGGAAGGTAATTTTAATTTTAATTCTCTATATTACAACGTCACACGTTCAACGATTGGAACTCACTTGCTAAACCTAAACCAAAGTTTTCCGGGACAAACTACAATTGAGTATGCAGATATAACAGTCACACAAGCAAACCGAAACCAAACGCGTAAAAGCGATGTAAGATTAAACAAAAAGAGCATTTCTTGGCAAGAAAACTTACAGTCGCACAGTGCGATCAATCTGTGTTCCTTGCTGTCCTGTCATGTACTTTCCAGCGTTACTTGGCGCCCGATTTCTTGGCCAGCCGCGTGCATTCATTCCGGCAGTGGCCGCCATCTTGATTCCAGTCGATTGCCTCGGGGAGACTGAGAACCAGTTTACCAGACTCCTCTCGCACTTTTTACTTGCGTGGTTTGTTATGTATGAGACATGAATTGTCCAAAGCAAAAAGAAGATGAACTATGGCGGCGGGGTCATCCTGCTGGTGTCGTTCTGTGATTAACTTAGCGCTGAACTGTGGAAGATATCAGCTGCGATTGGCCAGTTCAGAGAGTTCGAAACACACTGCAAAAAGAGGAAGATATCAAAGATGGCTTTTTTGGCTTTTAGTGGGTAGTGGTACTGCGGGCCTTGCCGCTCATAACAGACTATGGGAACGAAAACAACGTAGAAAACTTCGAGTTCAGATTGAAGGAATTGGACGTTTTTTCAGGTCAATATGTATTACATTCGAAATCCTTTCTCCACCTGCAAAGTCCGTAAAATTATGTGCGCAGACGCAACTTGCCTGGGGAAGTAGCTCACACTTACGGCCATTTTGGAATTAATATTAGGCCATTTCCGAGTTCCCCCGGGCCTCTGTTTCAAAACAAGGGTAGGCGCTCAGCCTTTGATATGGAAATCATTTTTCATTCTCATACAAATAATATTCATTTTCACAAGAAAGGTTGTGCACCTAGCCTCATTTTGAAAGTGAGGGTTTTGGAACTCGGAAGTGGCCTATTGACAGCTATCTGCACAGCCCCATAAATTAATTTTGCATATATGTTTCGACATACTCATACAGTAGAACCCTGGTAACTCGAACTCTGAAGGGAAATGAAAAAAGTTAGAGTTAGCAAGGATTCATGTATCGGGGACAATTGAATACTCAATTTGCGGTGTTAATTATTTTCTCGGGCTCCCATGAGAAATAGTCTTTGGTGTTATTACAGATAATAAATTATATCTATAGCCCTTGAAAAATGTAAAAAAGAATGCGGTATTATTTAAATTGTTCTGGTACAAGGTTTTTGCCCACTGAAAGTTGAAATTACTCAATTTCCTGATGGATTCTGTCTTAACTTGCTACATACATGATAGATACATGGGGCTATACGGAAAGTTTACATACCTTTCTATTTTGACAGCTTGGGGCCTTTCCAGAAAGGACCCTCAAGTTGGAGGTTGGGGAGGGGGAGAGGAGCACCTACTTATATGAGCTACAAAGTTATATGCCGCTGTGAAAAGTGGGGTTTACAAGCATTTGCGTCTGGTATAGAGTAGAGAAATCAGCCGTATTTGGTCTACAGGGACTTGACTAGGGTATTATGGATCAATGGGAAATTTGTCAGTGGTATGGAGATCAGAGTTTCTGGTTGGTGGTAGGTCTGGGATTGGGTAGGGATTTTTGGTGCCTAGTCTAGAATAGGATGGCAAGATTGAAGTTGAACATGGTCTTGTATAGGATACAGGTTTCAAGCTCCCAGAAACACATCTCCACCAAAAATGCAGAGAGGCCCCTCTCTTTGAAGTGTTGGCATGAAAATTTTCATTTCTATGGTATTGATTAGTTCATTACTTAATTTTAAGCCTGCTTTTCACCAGCGACACAAGCATAAGAGTTAAAAATAACATGGTCCTCACTAGAGAGGCAAGTATAAGCATGAGCATATAGTAAGAAGCTAATATGTGCTAGTGAGGACATCCTGACAAAAGCATAAGGATAAACATAAGAATGTCAAAGCTTTACATTCTTCTCGTACTTTCTTCTTATGCTTGTGTCACAGCAGTCTTCACTAACATGTAAGAAGTTTTTCCTTGTGAAGAGAATTCTCCTTTTCTTCTTTTTTTCAAAATTGCTCATGTCTGTGTACAAAACATTAATAAACAAGGTCTCTCAGGTGTTGTACTGTTATGGACCCAAAATATTTTTTCTTTATCAGGTGTTTTTATATTGGAATGAAAATATCGTTAGACTACTGGTGGACCCTGCAAGGTTTGGATCCTGTGAGTAAAAAACCACTACAGAATTATTGATATTGATGTTATATTACAGTATTAATTTGATCAACATACGTTAGAAATTAAAAATTTCTTTAACATTCAACATGATAGATGCTGGTATTGCTTGATCTTTGAGGGAAATCTGTAACTTTCATGTCCCTATTAAATAACCTTTGAGTAATGCCTTTCTTATGCAGGATAATAATAATATTGTAATAATGAAAACAATATAATGATAATGATACTAATAATATTTATATAGTGCTTATACATTTAAGTGCGAGATGCTTAGTGAAGTACAATCAAGGAAAAAAGTATATATGAATTGAAGATGATCACCATAGAAGAAAATAATACTCTGATCTTTTATCAAACTCTCTTAACTACTGATCTAGACTATGGAGATCACTCTGGAGTATTTGTTTGTGGATCTTGGGGCATAAAAGGATGTACTCTGTCTGCAGTTAATAACCCAGGATTAGAGTTAACTAATCGTCAGGGCCAGGTTCCTCAAAAGGTGGTTAAGTTTAACCCAGGATTAAGCCAAATTTTAAGCAAGGTTTTCTTGTCTAAGAACATGTAACTCGAGTTTACAAAATGCTGTTGAGCCTTTACTGCAAGATACAGTAATATATAATAACACAAAATGTTACTCTAAGCAATACATAGGAAGGTAAAATACAAAAACGGAACAAAGTTTTTATCCTGGATTAGCACTAATCCGCCTTTTAGGAACTGGACCCTGCAGAGCATTGGTGGTCCTATGGTAACAGCACTCACCTCCCACCAATGTGGCCCGGGTTCAAATCCTGGCGTTGACACCATATGTGGGTTGAGTTTTGTTGGTTCTCTCCTTTAATTTGCTCTGCGAGATTTTTTTATTGGTACTCTGGCTTTCCTTGCTCCTCGAAAACCAACATTTCCAAATTCCAATTAAGTCTGGAATGCACAGACATGTTTAAAGGAGTTCTCAAGAACTCCTACGTGTAAGTGTTTTGTGGGTAAACAAATTACAATTTTTTTCCAATTAATTTTATCTTGATGTCCACCTAATGCAATACATTTAATACCTTCATTGCTTTCTGTAGAATGGAGAACAGTATGCACAAGTCATCAAACTTTGTCACAAGAGAGCAGCCGAGAGACTTGTCATTGGTGCAGTAGACAATGGAGGTCTTTACATCAAGCTAGGTCAAGGACTAGCTTGCATGAATCACATACTACCTAGGGAATACACAGTCACTCTTCAAATATTACAAGATAAGGTAATGATATCAAATGATATCTAGGTTTTCAATGTGAAGTCAGGTCCATGGAGGGTTGTGCAATAATGGGACACACCCCTCCTCCCCAGGAATTGCAAAAGTCTGTTCTGAGGTATAGACTAGTTGAATGCTTATGCATCTTTTTTGTTTTCAAGTGCAGGTGACTCAAACTGACATTCAGTCTTGGCAAGACAGTTGATGTGTTTTCCATAAAAGGAGGGTCCATAATGAGGTTATTCAATCTGGACATTTAATAAAAATTTTCTGCCCATCCTGTCATATTGACTGCCTTTTAAAAGTGCCTTACAAATTATCCAGATTCCCTCAACTAAGAGAACCATGGCAGACAGTCAGATAGGAAAATAGTAACAATTTTGTATGAGACAGGGTCAAGAAAGTGTGGATAGTTATGGTAATTTATGTTACGTGTAAGTCGTCTTCAACTTAGAGTTTTTCCTGACATTTGAGAAACCTCAGTTCACTTTGCTTACTAGGTTTCATCCTACGTGTATAAACGAGATATCCTGAAACCAACATCATAACACAACCAAATCTGGTACCCAGTTTTATTTCATTTCCTGAATCCTGCTTTCCTTTTTCTTCAAAATCCTGATACCCAACCTTGAAATAAGTTAAATCCCAGATCCTGCAAGAACCTATTGGGGTCCCTCACAAGGAATCTGAGTAGGCTAGAACGGGAACCAGTTGTTCTAAAAGTCTAAAAACAGATACAGTTTCATAGTCTGATCAGTGGAGACTTTACTGTTAACAGAATCCTAACTTTTATATGCCATTGATCAGTTACTGAAATCTCATTATTTTAATTTTTTTGTAGGCTCTTCGAAGAAAGCATGGGGAGGTCAGTCCTTGCAATAATTTTTATTATTATGCACTATTATTGTAAATTGTACTCACTATCTACTGGTACCTACATATTGGCGAAGAGGGTACAGTTATTTTTGGGAACCCTTTAGGTTGCACGTGCATACATTGCATGACTTACCAGTCCATGTGACTTCAAAACAATGTATATGTTGTAGTTAATTTTTTATCTCAGGTAATTTTTATTTCTCCTTTGTTTCAACTTTATTAGCATACATTACCATAACCAAAAACAAAAGAAAAGCAAAAATTACCTGAGGTAAAAATTAACTGCAACATATATATACAAAAACAATTTTATTAGATTTGGTTTTTGTGCTATCTGAATCTGTAACAATCAAGGTCTCTATAAGTGTTTTAAACTTTGGCCTTCGGCCTTGGCTGATAACAGGTAGAGGAGGAGGAGGGCATAGAACCAGGTGGGCTTATAAGCAGAATATTATTTCCATGTTAATGGATGTCTATAAGCAAGTAGGGAGGGGCTTATATTTGGGTGGACCTTTTAACAGCTGTAATAAGATGCTGCTCACTGTCTATTTAAAATCAAGAATTCTGGTGAAAGATTATATTAATTTTATATTTTAACAGGACATGACTGTGCTCTTAACTACATGTAGCAGTGTACATTGGCCCCTGGCACCTAACTTTTCCCTTTGGGCAACTAGGAAATCTTAGTTTTTTCATTGAAATCATATGCTGGGCACCCTGTACTTCACAGGCTTAGAACACTGGGCTCTCTTCAATTTAGCCTGCGTAGCATTTCAGTTTTGTTGAACGCACTACTGAGCATTGCTCCTACACCAATCTCCTCACAGTTTCACTGCCCTCACCCACCTTGGCTTGTTTGCACTCCCGACCAAAACTGCCATGCTACACAGGCTTTAGAGCACAGCCTTGCATGAATTCTTGATCACAAATAGACTGCGAGTACCCTCCTATTGTTCTTGAAGGTTAGTCAGGTGGCACATGTATGTGTAACTCACTTGTGGCAAATGACCAGGCATGAGTGCAAAGTGTTACAGTTTTTAGTAGACTGTGTACACTAGCCTGTCTTAACTCATCATATTACCGGTATGTTAGGTTGATGAACTATTTTTATTCATAAATTATTATGTTATGTTAGGTTGATGAACTATTTCTAGAGGACTTTGGTAAAAAAGCTCCAGAGCTATTCCAAGAGTTTGATTATGAGCCATTAGCAGCAGCTAGTCTTGCTCAGGTGCACAGAGCTGTTAGACATGATGGGAGAGAAGTTGCTGTCAAGGTATACAGAATTTTTTTTTTTTGTATTTCTTTATTGATCAGAAGGGCTGCAACCATCATGTTTCTAACTGATGATGACAGTAGTTTATAAAGTTCTAAATTTGTTACCCACAAATTTCTGATTGTAACATTAGTATTTGGTGTATCCCAGGCAATAGGGGATACTCATGATTCAAGTGTTAGTGGTGATTAAACAATTTTGGGTTCAGATTTCCTGCTTTTGTTGGACAATATTGGAGATGGTTTAGGGTTGATTTGGAAAACTGCACATGAGTTATACCTCTGGCCCCAGTTGTTCAAAAGCTGGATAGCGCTATCCCCCAGATAAATCACTAGCCAGTGGATAAGTATTAGGGAAACCAATTGCACTATCCATTGGATAGAGATTTATCTGCTGGATAGTGCTATCCACCTTTGGAACAACTGGGAACTAGAAAACGCCCCCGAGAATGCACTGGATTTGCTCCTTAAACTCTACATTGCTCTCAGCCTTTCCACCTTCACTACATACACTGTTTTTCTTTTTTCATCAGAAATAAATCTAATTGTTTCTCTAATTTTAGGTTCAGTACATCGACCTTCTGGATAGATATAATGGCGATCTTTGGACATTAAAACGGCTGTTACAAGTCATTGGCTGGATGCATCCTTCTTTTTCTTTCTCTTGGGTCTTAGATGTAGGTTACAATTTGCCACATTAATTTTCTTTGATCAGTGATTCAATCCATTGATATCCTGTGTACGGATGTTTTATGTTTCCAATAGGAAACCTCTGTGTGCAGGCCTAATACAACAGTGACTGATTTAAATATGCTTGCTGTTCATAGTGTATAGACTGGGGTGAAAGAAGCGAGAGAACTTGTAGTCCATTTGAGTTTGCAGTCTGTGATAGGATAGGGATTTGGGTTACTTTGTCTAGCATGCCACTGAGTGTGGCTGGGTGTAGGCTAGGGTTAAGGTTTAGGGTTGGGGTTAGGGTTAGGGTTTAGGGTTAGGGTTAGGGTTAGGGTTAGGGCTAGGCTCAGGGATACAGCACCCAGCAGCACACACCCACCCAGCAGTGTAGCCATGATTTTTCAAAGGAGCGGTCACCTGTGTCACACTCAGTGTAGTTACTAGATTGTCGTGTGATAACTGAGCTGTTATTTAACAAAAGAGACATTTTTTGGGTAAGCAGTTAGCATGAGTGGGACGGGGGAGACAAGCCTACAAAATGCCCCCTACAATCCCGGACAAAACTACTTGAGAACGTTTTTTCTTTATTGCGCAACACAACAAAACTATTTCCAAATCAACGGCTTTGCGTAAAATAATCCCCTTCCCCCAATTCAAAGCTGCTTCCTACAAACGCTCAGGGATTAGGCTTTCTTCTTAGACACAGGAGGAGAGGGAAGAATCGCTACGGCTACGATGTTCTCCAAGTATGCAATTTTATCAAGAGTTTTGTCCACCCCTTCCACCCAAAATACAACAACTTATACAATATTGTTCTATACTCCATTTTTCTTGGTGCTAACTTCAACATCAATTTTGAATTATTTAAAGATAACTCACGATGAAGAAAACAATTTAATTTTACCAGGATTTAAAAGAAACCTTGAAGCAAGAGCTGGATTTTGTGAATGAAGGACGCAATGGCGAAAGATGTGCAGATGAACTCAAACATCTCAGTTATGTTTATGTGCCTGAAATCCACTGGGATTTCACAACCAAGGTAAAACTATTTTCAGATAATTCTTACAGCATCTATAGACGTCTATGGGTATCTTAACACGATACCAGATAGCTTTTGCGCCGACCGAAAACAAGGGCGGATTTAGGGGTGGGCCCGGGGGGGGCCCGGCCCCCTCTTTTGTCCGGGAATTTTTTTTTCCTCTTGTAAACGTGCGTCGGATGGTACTTCGCGCTTTGTTACTTAAATATATTTCTTTAATAAACATTTGGTAATAACTGAAAGAAACTGTGTTCGAGGCCTACATTTTTAGTCGCAAATGCCCAAAGCTCCAAGAATGCATGCAGTAAATATCCGTTTCAAACAAACTTGATTTGACAATTTTTCAGGGAGACAATGTCGCCGCCTTTGCCGGGAGGTTGTGCTCTCGCCGCAATCGCTTCGGCCCCTGCTACAATCAAAAAGTGTTAATTACTTCTTTGACCACAACCACACCTGTGGTTTATTAAATATTTCAGCATTACATATTCAATATGGAATCCAGGCATTTGCTAAATTTAAGCGTTCAGAATACACCAGACGGCATCGCAGAGAACTTCAATCTCAAAAATTTTCCCGGAGGAGCGTGCGCCCGAGACTCCATAGAAAAGTGCGCCGTTCGCATTCCTGATGGGCGCTATCGCGTCCTTATTGCCACTGTATACTATATCTCTAGGCCCCCTCTATCACAAAATCCTCCGTCCGCCCCTGAAAAAAACATACTGGATATGGCTTCTGTTCACGATGATTTTAGGCGTGATTTCTTTAACGGAGTGAAACTGCGCCGGGGAGATCTTGAAAGTGGATCGGCGCATATCGGATAGGTTTCTGCCACTCTCCTGAGTCTCAGTGTGAACAAGTGGACCGTAGTAGACGTAAATAAGCAGGAGCTAGGACTGGAACCCACTAAGACGAAAGTAACTATCCAGAAGTGAGACAATAAAAGTGCTCCAAACCCTCTCAACCTACCGCTCCAGTACGATGTGCGATGTGTGTGAATAATTTACTGTAGCCTAAGTCATCGTGTGGTTATACTGACAAGTTTTCCTCTCCTTGACTTATTTTTAGCGCGTTCTGACGGCAGAGTTTGTTGACGCGTGTAACGTGGATGATGTCGAGGAAATCAAGCGAAGAGGACTGGATGTTGCTGATGTAAGAAAATTATGTTTAAACTGTCAGAGGGGTCTCCCAAGTATTTAAACTGAAGAGGTTTTGATATATTCCTCTGCTGTTTTGGCCTTGATGAAAAATATTCGTGTAGCTCGTAAAACAGGCGTTATTTTGATGCGTTTTCGTAGGCGAGCACTTTTCGCGAGGGAAAGAGCTTTAGCCACGCGTGAAGGGAGAGGCTTTCTTCCCTTCCTTCCTTTGCACGCTTGCTTCACTATTCGCACTAGCCTGTGAAGCATGAAAAAAAACACGTCTTCTACAAACTAATAGGAAAGCTTTAGCAGGAGGTGAAGTGAGAGAGGCAAAAACAGGCGAGTTTAACCCTTTAAGTCCCAAAAGTGACCAATATCCAGTGGCGGATCTAGACTTTCAGATAAGGGGGAGGGAGAATAAGAATAATGGGGGGGGGGGGCACTTCGGGCCCCTACCCTGGATCCGCCACTGATATCAATTTTCTCCTAACAATACCAATAGATTATCAAGGAAAAAGTTAATGATCACCAAAAGGAAAATTTTCGATCGCTTATCCATTTCTTTCAACGAATTCTTTAAGCAAATGTTTGAGATCAGTCTAAGGATGAAAATAAGCAAAAACCAGCTCCTATATCAAGAATCAAGTCTGTACCATGCGCTGAATAACATTGCCAGTTTTGCAGGTGTTAACCTTTAAGGAGAAAAGCCACGGGAATTGTCATGAGGTTGTTAAAATTATGAGCGAGTGCTCTATCAGGCTCTTTGTTGGGGCGGCACCTGGATAACTTTCAAGAGAATAAATAATTATAGTACCCTGCGAGCAGAGGTTTCTTTCTGGAATGGCTTTTAGCATTTAGGAAGTCGCTCGGGTCGCTTGTGAGTCAAGCCACGGGAACGCTTCTTCTCTGTTATGTCACTGCGTTCCGCCGCAGAGAAAACGTTTAAGTTCTAATCAGCAGAAAGGCAACAACACGTTGAAATAGGAAGGACACGGCCATAAATGCAAATTCCGAGCATAAACACATTACAAATGCCAAAAGCCATGTCAGAAAGAAACCTGTACTCGCAGGGCACAATAATAGGAGGAAAAAAATGTTTATTTTTAGCAATTTTTCCGCGTAAAATGACACAACTTGGGAAAGGTTAGCTTAACTTTTTCAAATTGCAATTCATGACAGAATACAACCGTTTCATACTTCTTAGCGTTTGAGTCAGTTTTTCATTATTACAACTTGTCTGGGTCTGTGCATAGCTCGTTACTATGCGTCTTTAGTAGGAAAAAAAAAACTGCGTTAATTGCCCTCGGTTTAAAATAGGAGACATCTACACCCAGTGTACCTTCGCTAGTAGTTTTCGTCTTCTGACTTTTGTCTAGGTTGATGAAAAAATGATCAAGGCGTTTGGCGAGCAGTTGTTTCGAAGTGGCTTCATCCATGGTGACCCTCACCCTGCCAATGGTAAGTAAATTGACCTCCATTACGCTTTATCTACTACTTATTAACCGAGAGTGAGGTCATTACGGGGAAATCTCAGACCGAGGCCTTGAAGTAATAACCAAGCGGATGAGGTTAGTAAGTTATTTATTATGTGGCCTTTTCATTTTGGACCTGAGTCTGCGATCAATTAAAACCAACCAGTGGTCAGCGGATAACTTAAAAAACACTTCACCCCAGTG